TCCTTCTAAAATCTATTTCAACTCAATAATTCCGCCGTCTTTTATTTATTCATTTATTTTCCTCTACAGAAATAGTATAGCCGAAAGCGCTGGGAATTGTAGCACATTTGGACATTTTCTACACACGCTGCATCCAACGAAGAAAACACTTGTTCGGAAAAGAAGTTAATCGTGGTACCTTGTCTTTAATGAAACATGTATAAATGAAGGATTGCTTCCTAAATACAAAATTATAAGTATATATATATATATATATATATATATATATATATATATATGTGTGTGTGTGTGTGTGTGTGTGTGTGTGTGTGTGTGAAAATATATGGAAAATATGAAAGAACTCGGTAGGTAAATAATCCAAAGTTCTTCAGTACTTTTGTTATTATTTTTAAAAATACAGTGCTCGATACAAAAGTAGAGCCTAAATAAATCCAGAATAACTAGTAATTTTATTTTTAATAATGAATCTTGATTGTGAGTGTGTTTGTGTCTGTACGTTTATATATTGGAGCGGATTTCCTACATTTTTCAACCGATTTCAACAAAACTTCACAGGACTACGTAAAATTACCTTGCGGTGGTTGTGACAGCGCCAAAAAATTGGAAAAACACATTTTTTTTGCACAAATCGAATTGGAAACACGATTAAGAGGCATTAATGAAAGGGGGACAACTCATATCGAATTATACTTATTAATATCGAGTTATCGAGTTATACTTATTATAAAACCCAGGTTAGTTGTGTGTGTGTGTGTGTGTGTGTGTGTGTGTGTGTGTTCGTTTATATATGGGATCGCATTTCCTACATTTTTCCACCGATTTCAACAAAACTTGGCAGGTAGTGTTTCATATTGTCTTGCACACTTTTTTCTTTATTTTTAAATTCAGAATGCTTTAAAAATTCCATTTACAAGACAATTGTTTATAATAAAATTCTATTCAATAGGTAGACTCATAACGATTGAAAACAATGTTTTTGTTTGAGTTTGGGTTTGACCAATTCGCAAAAAAAAAAAAAACAACAATAAAACTAATTATGACATGCGTATCCGTCAACCTTAAACAATAATCTTTGTCAATTTTATTTTTCAGTTTTTATGATGGTCGATACTTGATCTATCTCTTACTGTTACATCTCCGGGCAACGCCGGGCTCTACTGCTGGTATGCTTATAAAAACGCGTGAATTTAAGAATTAGTTATTTAAAAGAAAAATTCGCTTGATGATGGAACAGAACTTGGTACTTTAATTCAATTTAATTCAAATAATTATATTAAAGTTTTCGGCTCTTGTTTTGAAACATGAGAACTCTTATGTAGCGATTGAATCATATTTTTAAATAAATAATTATATATATATATATATATATATATATATATATGAGAACATTTATAATAGATATAAAATAAATAAAGACCGTCATACGTGTTGTGCGAGAAGCGTTTAATTTAAATACAGCAAATGATGAAAAATAATGAAAGGCATAAGACAATGATTGAAGACAGAATAGTAATCGGTCTAAGACAAAATGATTGAACACAGTAAGTATATTGGATTATAAAAATGACATGTAATACCAAATATATTTATTACTGAAGTAAAAAGAAAGTGAAGTACAAGACAAAAGGAAAGAAACACGTTCGCACGTCTCAATTTCTTGCTCGCCGTGGCTGTCCATAGGAACACCGTTAAGAATGCCTTTCTCTCGAACTCATTTCCGCTTACGGCGACAATCAATGCATTTTGCCACGCGAATTCTTTTTGTGGCTGGCGAACAACGCTTTCTCTTGGCAACACCTTCGATACAATTACATAAAAAGATGTCCAAAGTATTATCCAAGTTTTTGCTATATCCTACAGATGAATAATTTCACTTTTGCTGAGGCGTGGCTTTATAATGTATCTGTTTGAAACGAGAGAGCGAACTCGTGCATGTAACTTTCGTGGTGGTGACTCTCTCAGGGGTGTAATCTTTATGCCTGAGAAAATATGTAGAACTCTTCTATATCCGTTATGTAATAAATATATTTGGTACTTTAAGTCATTTTAATAATCCAAGGTACTTTCATATAAAATGCCTCCCATCGTTATGGGGTATCCTATTTGCCGGCTGTGACAGCAAAATTGTCCAATTGTTAGATTTAGGTTTGAAAGGTTGTATCCTAGAAATGATTAAAGATATCTAACTAGAATTATCCAAAGTTTGTATAACCCTATTGGACTCTACTGTAAGCAATAAGAATGTGTAATTACTCTCCAAGTTTAACAGAAGAATTGTGATGAAATCGATCATAAACGAAAATGATATGTTCATTGTTAATCAATCATAGCTAAGTATCGGAAGCTCATGATGTATTTAAATATATATATATATATATATATATATATATATATATTATTCTGGAGTCATTTTCCAGCTTATTCATGATGATCTTCGCCCTCTCTAACCTTCTAACATTCTGACCTGGAGTAACAAGTTGCCTCACAGGTTTCATGTACGATTTCACATTCAAGTCTTGTTTAGACTGTTATAGATGAAACTCCTATCTAACGTGTCAACCGCCTTCTGGATTGAGTTGGAGCTCTGCTAACTGATCTCTTTAGCTCTAAGTTGAAATGATGATTCTTCTTCCTGTTAACTTTTCACTTTTTTCTAAACTTATTCACCATTCTCTTGTTGGTTCTTGAATGGACTTTGAAAATGGAAGCCAGAGTATGAATGTTGTTACCATTACCTAAGGCCTGAATGATCTTTATCTCACCAATTCTTAGTTGGGAAATGACACCTACCAATCTTAACCGGTTCTCTTTTTAACTGAATTTTTCAGTAATTCTTAAAAAATAATGGCAAGATGGCTAAACGTGTGTGTATATATATATATATATATATATATATATATATATATATATATATATATATATATATATTGCCAGAATATGTTCATTTAAGGTTGTTTGATTAAAAAATCTACACAGGTTGTGTTTATTGAGAATAAGCAAAGAGAACATGTCGAAATTGTTTAATCAAGGTAAATTGTCGCCGTTTTATATTTTTAATTTCGCCCATGGTCGTTGTTTCGATTTTGTCGACTGCGCACTATAGTTGGGTCAGGTGGGCAACGTCTGTGTGGAAAAGAAGCACCCTGACGCATTTCACTGGATGAACTGCGTGGCATTCGCGCCGGAACCTCCAATACGGACATTTCAGGACGTTTCTGTGTCAATCTGAGTCCAGTGCAGAGGATTCGGATAAAATCTGGATGGTATATCAAGTCAACATGATGCTGTTTCGAATGATCACTAGTGATGGCGATATTATGCCTCTTTTTATCTTCACACAGGTCCTCAAACTCAATTCAGAGTCCTATATCAAGTGCGTTGAGGAGATAGTTCCGCCCTGTGTCAAGAGGGTGGCTGCTAGAAGAGCCTATGTCAGGCAACAGGATACACAAGCAGGAGAACACAGTGATAACGCCCAGACAATTTCTGCAACGGCATCACCCCTTACATCTGTCCACCTCACTCCCCAGACTGCAACACCCTTAATTATTGTGTCGGGCACAGTTGTGCGAGAGATCAAAAACAAAAACAAAAAAAAACTCCTTGTAACAACAAAGATGAAGTGAGGGCAGGGATTATGACAGCATTTACCAACTTAAACAAGGTGAATGTCCAGAAGTGTTGAAGGAGATTCGGTAGTTGTCTGGATGCCGTAGTTGAAGACACGGGCGATTTTAATGTATACATGTACCCTTGAGTATTTCAAGATAATTTTCTGTAATTCTGTTAAATATATATGTTAAAATGAGATGTCAGTGTAATTTAGACGACAAATTATTCATCGGACGCCATAATATCTATCTATCTATCAAACTCTCTCTCTCACTCTGTCTCTCTCAATATATATATATATATATCAACATCATCACTTGAGAAGACACAGAATGTGTTGAAACAAAATGGCTATTTTTGTAGTGATCTTATAACATACTTATGTTATAATTTTTTATAAAAAATAATTATATATATATATATATATATATATATATATATATACATATGGAGAGCTAGCTAGCTAGCAAGATAGATAGATAGTTAGAGGTAACTTCAAAGTAAGGCGATAACTAAGGTTTAAAATGCATTTTCTACCATAAAAATCTGGCTTCATTTTTTTTTTTATTTTAGTTATTTGCTAATAGATCAGGTGTCGGCAATCCCTGTGTCCCCAAGTCACATCGGGTCGCGAAAGATTTTTGTCCGGCCCGTGGACTTAAGCGTAACTTTGCGTAACACAGTAATCGTTTGTCATTACCATGATGTGGAATGATTATATTGAATTAATTGTTAAGTCTACTATTTGGAAAGTCGAATCAATATGTTGTGCGAGACAATTTTTCTCTGCACAAACTATCATGAATGTTTCTGTTTGCAGTTCCTCTGTGCATGAAAAGTTGCCTCCATTTCAAATCTTGTGCTTATGCTATACATCCAGAGGTTTTTGACAAAATTCAAAGAATCTGCAATGTTATTGGTCATGTCCTTGTCTCTCAGCTTCAGTCACTCCCCCACCATCATAACATCTTTTCACTTTGATACTTCTATAAATATTTTCGAAGTAATAATTCTGATTAGTTTTTCGCATTGTTACCTGTAATTTACAAAATTTTAGAGCAATAAATGTTTGCATCTATATTTCATAATTACACTACTTGCAACAATAAGATCTATGGTAACAGTTTCTTCTCTTGCGTTTCTCGCTTGTGAAACTCGCTTCCGGATTCGTGCGTTCCTGTCAATTAGGAAGTTCCAATGTTTAAGTGCAATGTCATTCGTCATTCATTTTCTTGTAAACTGTTCTTTTTATTGTTTTCTCTGTTTTCCTCTTAGTGACTTGTATCATAGCGGCTTTATTACATTGCTTGGGGGTGAAATGATTAAATAATAATAATAATATAACATTTTTTATGTGTTTATTTGTTTTATTTTTTTTTTTTTTTTAGTGTTCTGCTTCTTGTGGAGTCGGGTTGGTGACGCGTAAAGTCGTATGTGGCAAGGTGGTTAATCACTCTTTCCAGTTGCAGTCTGATGCACATTGTCGTCACAAACCTCGCCCTAAGAGTTCGACACCTTGTAGATCAAAAACCTGTGGGCCTCAGTGGTATGTTACAGAATGGTCAAAGGTAAGTTTCTTTATTTAATCCAACTGGTTAATAGATTTAATCGACAAGCGGTTAATACATGGATTAGGATTAAGATCTAAGAGTAAAACTTCGCGACAAATTCCCTCGGTTCGAGCAGATATAAAAGATTTATTGTCCATAGTACACAAAGATTCAGACAAAAGTTCTGCTGGTTGGACACTGGTGATATCTGGGTAATGGACCAGGTTGATAGATTATCAACAAATATTGTGTTATCTTTGGAAATTTCTAGAACTACTACACCCATCTCATCTCTCTTTCTTGGCATTACTGTAATTAAGTGTGGGGTCCTATGTTGTGTGGGTCGACCGAGAGTCATCAGCTTGGGGAGTGAAATCGGTGAGCTGAGTTCAAGATCCAGCGTCACCTGTTGAATTTTCTTTGACATGCCCTTGGAAAAAGCATGAACTCAGATCTTCTTTATACATCTATTGTTCTCATGCAATTACTCCCCTGTCTGGGATAGGATTAATACCAAGTAAAGAAATGTACTTGATCAGAATTAGAATGCGATTACCATTACGTTATTTAAGCATATTCAAACACCTAAAAAAAAATGCTGAAACGATGAAGACATAATAGTAAAGCTCTTTAAATGTGAAATAGAGAACATAACTTGTGCGTGGCTATCTACAGGACGTCTACAAAGAGTAACTCGCGCCCTTATAATTGTAACTCAGTATGGACAAAGCAAAAACAAGTGTAAACATTGTGGTAAAAGAATCTAGAGTTTAAACGGCATAAACATATAAAGATGTATCAACGTTAGGGTAGCTTGATATTTCACTATTTATAGAAAATCATCATTGCACTCAGATTGAAAAGAGAAAGGGAAGCCACGGCACAGAGGTGAAAGATAGAAAAGTCAAGATGCTAGACCACAACTAATAAGTATGCATATTCAATTATATATATATATATATATATATATATATATATATATATATATATATATATATAGGACCAGGATATAAGAGAGTTGTCGGGACCTGAGAAGAAGTCTCTTATCTCCGGGTTTCTCTTATATCCGGGTTTGGTCTATTTTGTTTACATTAACACAGGTTCTAATTTGGGACCAGAGAAAATCTATCTTATATCCGAGTTTCTCTTATATCCTGGTCTCTTATATCCGGGTTACACTGTGTATATATATATATATATATATATATATATATATATATATATATATATATATATCGTCTGAGTTCCTCTCTGCCCGAAGGCAGAGTTCGACTAGCTTAGCTGGAGACAAATCTCTAACTGAAGGATATTTGCTAACCGTCCCACGCGGTCAGATGTGGCACAAGGCCGAATTTAACAGGGGGTATCCGAGCCCGTAGGCTCTGGCAAAAATTCCCCAAGGACCCCGTAAAACGGGGTCGGGTAGCTGTCTTCCAAACCCAGACGAGACTCTGCCCTTCGGCATAGACTCGTCTGGGTTCCTCTCTGCCCGAAGCACAGAGTTCGAGTAGCACAGCTCGAGACGAATAAACAACTGAAGGCAAACATAGAGCTTTTACTATTGTATTTATATGAATGAGGACATGCCCATTATCATGCCTAGGTATGCAACAGCAATACACACACACACACACACACATACATATATATATATATATATATATATACACACACATATACGCACACACACACACATATATATATATATATGTGTGTGTGTGTGTGTGCATATACATCACAATTTAAATACACAGAAGCATAAATTGATTTAAACAAATACTGTTCTTTATTTTCTTTCTTTATTTTTTTTAACCACGGCGCTTTTGTCCAACACTTATTCAGGGACCAACGTTGGCAAAATTATTGCTTCAAAATTCGTGTGAATAGGTAAGTAATATGGAGAAGAATTTGGAGTACGTCTAAAACATGTAAATTCCTGATTAAGATATACATAAATGCAAAAGGTTGTAAATACTCCAACGTGAGTGTAAAATATGAAAGAAATTAATACTCACGATCCTCCAGATAAATGAAGTGACCGAAGAAAATACTCCTTCTGGCTACATAAAACACGTTGCTCTCTCTCTCTCTCTCTCTCTATATATATATATATATATATATATATATATATCGTGACTTCCTTCGCTCTTTTTATGGGTTTTTTCTCCTCTACAATTTCGATATCAATATATAACTTCCGTTAAGTTAACCGTTTAACTGTGTCAATGTCTGGACATCAAGTAATTTTCAGTATAAAAGAATACAAAATTTTAAATTACATCTAACTCATTCATGTCTTCTCCCCACCCCCTCACTTCCTCACTTCGTTAATTTACACATGTTTAATACGGCCCGTCAAAAATGGGTGAATTACTTTTCATTTTTTGTTTCAATCTTTGGAAGTAAAGTCTGATGATCCGCAGCCTTTTAAAAGTGCTGTGGTGAAATAATTTATTAAATGGAACCTTAAAGTGGTCTGTTTGTATTTAAATAATATATATATATATATATATATATATATATATATATATAATATATATATATATAGGAAATCATCATTGCACTCAGTTTGAAAACTGAGGTTTGATGCGATGAGTAGCCACAATAAATATTAGATAACTTTTACCAATTTCTGTTCATTTAGTTTTAAATATCATCTGAAATCATGTACAGAAATACTTAATTTTCGCAGGTCCTTCTCCCAAAAAAACTTTAAACTTTAAAGTGACTCTTCTATTTCAACAATAAATCCAATTAAAAATTATGCATTTTTATTAGATACATTGAATTCAAACCAGAATTGAAATTATGTATCAACACAAACAGAATATGCAATTTTATTTTACTGTATTCGATAAGTAAGAACTTTATTAAAACAATTCTAAAAGATGGCAAAATATCATTTGTTAGATCATCATTGATAAAAAAGAAAAATAGATAAAAGTGTATATAACACCATAATACTGGTGGGCACAAATTAAAAGGCAAAATGTTTTTTATTTGTATTGTTTATTGAAAATCACACTAAAATTACTGCACTGTAAAATATATTGCATCATAATATTGCTAAGTTTTTAGTATAATTCCCCTTTGAATTAAATGAAGGTCTTATTTGATGGCACAATGATGTAGTAACAATGTGCTTTTGCCATGCTTCTTGTCCACATACAATTTATGAAGATTCAGTAAATCATAACTTAAATAAAATTGCAATGCTACGATTTTGAACATAAACTGTATTAAAATAAGCAAGAGTTTATACATCATAAACATAGAACTCTGTTGGACACTATTCAGATGACTGCCTTTTCAAACAATTACTGTTTTAGTAAAGTACGTTCTCGCCAAGCCAGTAATAGAAAGTAGTCAGCTCATTGAAATATCGATAATATGGCATTCAAACCCAACTCTTCAAGGTCGGACAGCGAACTTTCTAACCTTTCGGCACCGGTCAGAACCCCGCTGTCAAATATCACGAAGCTGGTTGGAATAATGTTGACAGAAATCATGATGCTTAGATAGAATTCATAAGTGACGTTTCTTCTTCTGTATTTTAGTGCTCGAAGACATGCGGTCGCAACGCAGTACGAGTTCGTGAGACAACCTGTTACTTCGAGGGAGTAAGATCGAACAAGTGCAAACCAGCACAAAAACCGGCTACCATTGACCGGTGTGCAGAGACGAAGTGCCCAGAAAATGACGGTAAGAATGAATATTTTTATTTGATTTCCTTTTTACACCGTTATATATTTTCTTTTTATTTTGTAGTCTACACTTGCGCGTTAGTTTAGCTTTTGGAAAATAACCAAATTTATAATTATCGGGCGCAATAATTTTACAATAGAAATTATTAGCAAAAATAATATAAACAGCGGATATGTGGCAGTGTAAACGTTATCATCATTCAAACTTCAATACAGCCTCGTGTTCCCTCTCACATTATAACCCTTCTTTCCTACGTATGGGTTAAAGAACACTATGATCTCTGTAGCAGCCAGAATAAAAGGAAAAATACTCTGACTTCCATAATGTTGAGAAAGCAATGCACTATATTTCCTTAGAAAGCGGGACAATTTTCAGATACAAAAGAAGAGAAGAATGTGTGCAAAGCCATGATGACCGACATGTTAAAAGACGAAAGAGAGCAATGAATTCAAAGCAGTTGAAAAAGGAACGGGAAACCACTCTAATAACTTTCCCAAGAATTTACGCCAATTATCAGATACTCAAGAAAAACTATCAGTGAAGAGTCATGGTAGCTAAAGGCAAGAAAGACGGCTCTGAATTCAAAGCAATGAAAAAGCCAACATGAAACCACGTATCTTTCCCAAGACGTTAGGGCAATTCACAGAAAGAAGAGAGGCTTTTGACCGTCAAAATTGCCGAAGTACTGAATAAATAAGATATTTAAAAATATATATAATAAGGCGTCATATATGTTAAAAGAGTATTAGTAAGTAATTCAGTGTATTATTTTCATTGATCCATTTAGAAGGTTGGCGGGCATTGGCCTCCACAACATTCTGTCTATGTATGCCTGATATTCTGACGCTACCTGTTCCTCAGTTTCTATTATTCATTCACACAAACGCTGTATAGATTGTGATGTGTCTAATCGTTATACAGTGTAACCCGGATATAAGAGACCCGGATATAAGAGAAACCCGGATATAAGGGAGATTTTCTCTCGTCCCAAATTAGAACCTGTTTTAATGTATATAAAATAGACCGAACCCGGATATAAGAGAAACCCGGATATAAGAGACTTATTCTCCGGTTCCTACAACTTTCTTATATCCGGGTTACACTGTACCATTATTTATTTTTTCTTTTATTCGTTTTAGATTTTAAATAATGGCTTAAAAAAACGAAATAAAATATATATAATCATATAACAATAAAAAGATAGGACACAGTCCTCTTATTATTATTATTATTATTATTATTATTGTGCTTGTTTCTTCTTTCTTTAGTTTGCACGACCGTTATTCCCTGCCAGTACCTCATAAATAATGGATTATTCCGTTTTGGTCGAGTGGGAAAAAAAACTATTTATTTTTAGTTAGAAAAGAAAGAAAAAAAGAAAGAACGGATGATAGAAGTGGAGAGGGAGTGAATTAAGCTGATAACAACCTACTTTGATCTTAGCCAAAAGACCGAGAAATAATGGCGACTGCAATAAAAGCGGCATTTTTCAGACGCACAATATCGAATAACAGACACCTAGTAATACAATCAATATTCATGTTGCATTATAATCATGTTCTCTGTCAAATCTCTCAATTCAATTCGATTTTTCATCACATAGATCAAATATTAAACATTGAATATTCCACTAAAATTGTAATTATAACCTGAGTGTCTTTCTACGTAATAATTAATATATACTTGTATTATTTATGATTTATTTTTAACAACCATTTCTCTTCAGGATGTAGGCGACCATTGCCCTCTCTTCTTTTTCTCCAATATGCAAAAATGACATAGACTTCTTGAAAAAAATAGTATTTTTCCGTTGCTTTCTTGACGGTGTGCACTTCAGAGATGACTTTCTCTTCGACTGATTGACATACAAGCCTTAGTTGGAGTGTGGAGCGGAGACGGTTTTGTCCTAGGGTATTTGTGTGAAATTGAAAGTAAATAGGTGGGAATTGCACCGATATCCATCATAGTACCTCGTATCGTATAATTTACATAGAAAGTGTTTAATATTTTCTTATTTTTCGTTATAGATAACTGCAAAGACGACGAGGCGGTAAATTGTCAACTGGTAAAGGAAATCAATCATTGCCATAATTCGTATTACAAGAAAGCATGTTGCAAAACATGTCAGGATGATGAACAGGTGGACGCTGAGCATCTTAGCACCGATGACGGGGAAGGTTACACTGAGTAATTAATAGGCCCCTGATGCATCTTACCACTTGTTAAATAAATAAAAAATTCAAAGAAAGAAAAACTAATAAAAAAATTCTGAAAGAAAATATTGAGTCCATCCTTCAAATCTAAAACACTATCATTCGTCTTTGCATTGAATACTGTTGCCATATATGGGCTGGTGCCCCCCGCTGTTCATCACGGGGTCCTCGACAAAATTCAGAGAGGATATGCAATATGAGAGGTCCTGATCTAGCATCTGGTCTAGAGTCACTTTCTCACAGACGTGCGGTAGTTTCCCGCTGTCTTTCCTACAAATATTTTTATGACAACTGCTCTGACGATCTACATTCACTGGTACCCCGATTGCATGAATTTAAGCATGCTACTAGTTTGGCATTTCGGTCCCACCCTTCACTGTCGAAACAGTTAAATGTAACCGCCTCTTCTACAGCCAACAGCTTCTCTCTCTTCCCCCTCCTTGCTTCCCTGATAGCTATAATCTTCAAATATTCAAATGAGATCTTCTGATGCCTTGATCCTCATCCCAGTTCTTCTCTAGATCCTTTCCTCAAACACCCTTCTTTACTTTTGCCCTCACTCTCTATACTCCCTTAAATGCTAGTGGCACTTCCGCCTTGCATAGGGTAAAATTCTTTACATATATATATATATAATGCACTTTTTAATTAATTTGTAAAGTACTTTATCGGCCGCTCAATTGCTAAAACCCCAAACCAAAGCAATAAGAACAAAAAAGAAAAAATACACCGGTCAATCATCGAGTCTCAAGTTAGATCAGCGTAGAAAGATCGACATGGTGATAGAAAAAAATTACAAGGATAAAGGTAAGTAAAAACAAAAAAAATACGAAGTGTATCAGTTGAAGCAAATGTTACTTTGTGATTTAAAAAAAATAAATAGTAAAAGTAAATAGAAAAATATATTAATTCCGCCTCTTTAACAATCAGAATATATAAAAAAAAGAAAAATGGAAGGTAGTGAAAATATTTACCATCAAAAACATCTGTGCTGTGAGAAAAATGACCGTACAATGTTTACAACAAAAAGACTGACATTATATATATAAAATATTTCAAAACAGAGGAGTGAACTCTTCAACCAAATCAATCGAAAAAAATATATACCTACAAAGTCTATCGCAACTACAACTGAGAAAAAATTAACTTAAACACAAAATCTGTTACGACTACTACTAAAACACTAAGATACTTAATACAAAAACAAAATATTAATAAGCTAAAATTTGAAGGAGGAATTTTGTCTAATACCTTTACATTGCAGAAACCTCTAGGAATTTCAACAAAATATTATATAAACACAAAATGCATATTTTACAAAACAAAACGCTTATTGCATTAGCTGCAAACTGTAATGTGTTAAACCTTACTCTTGATTTAAGAAAAAATGATGCTTTCATTAAAAGAGAAAATAATTAAAATTTTATAGAAATTGCTTTAATCGCTAGATCATTCGCAATAAAGTTGTGTACATTTTCATACAAAATCGCGCTTCTCTTGCCGGGTCTTGTATTATCAGAATGTGGGAAAATTAATAAAAAATCTAATAAAAACAAAACTAAATGCATAAGGCAACCAAATGAAATATGCCTGAATATATACCCATACACATCTAAAAAGAAATAAATTTGAAATTGAAAAATATTTTCTTTCAGCTTTCCAATATGTTTTGCGTAATTGTAACCAAAGTTTGCGTTTTTATATTGACCATCCTCTTCGTTCCAATTACATCATCAAAAACATTACTTTAGTTCAATGAAATCCTATAGGATGAAAAGCGTCACAAGATTTTTTACAACTTTGTCAATAATTTTTCTCATGCCATATAAGAATATACAAGAAATATGATCTGACTATATAATACTATACAATGAAATAAATGCAAAAAAAGCAATGTGCATGCAATATTCCACAAGACGTGTTTCTATACGATACAGTCGATAATAAGAATTGAAATAATGAATTTTTAAAACATTACTTCAACGAAAGCAAGGTAATACAGTCATTAAGATATAAGGAGTTACTCAGTGAAAAATGACTTTATTAAAATGCTAGAAAAATAAAAGAACCGGAATTAAAAAGACGTGATGCAACGATTGATATTGCCTTTAAAATTTGAAGTTAACTGGAAAGAAGACACAGGCGCGAAATGCGTGGAAGAATTCTATTATAATAAATAAATACGATTATATCATTCTATAAAAAATATACAGCAATCCACATATTAATATACGATGGTAATAAACAAAAGAAACAAATATACAAATCCTATACAAAATAACTATCATAATATTAAAATATAAAATATTATCGATGGTATATTATGCAATGTTGTTCAACAGATGTTACGAAATATAAGATAAGAGTTTATTATTAATTACTATAAACCAGGGGAAATCATAGTAGACAATATTAAATATTAATGAACATTATTATTCAGAGTTAAGAAAAAGGGAGATATTACAAAATGCTATATAGAAAAGGAATGTCCATGTAGAATATGGACATTCCCTTACGGAATACGAGATTAATTATCTGATACAATGTCAAACGTTAAAAGAATTCTTATTCTTATTTATAAAATCCCAAATGACAATGAAGTGTAATATGCAATATTAAACAAAAAAGGCTATGTTGCATTAAAGTACTCACGAAATCGAATGATCAATCGTTTGCATGAGTATACAACATCACGTAAAACTTATGCTATACATGCAAATATATATAACACTATCCTAATACTATTATATATTATATAACGGAATACGTGATGACATATATCATTATACGACAAAAGATGTATTAGGATACAAATATACATAAAATAATATAAAAAAATGTTAGATTATAGAAGAAAATAGAAATTAAAATAAAGGGTGTTTCATTAAGACGGATCAAAGTCAACAGTAAATAAATCAGTGTTATTGTGAAAATTTATTTATTTCCCTATTGGATCATGTTATTTAATTCATGGCAATTATGTGTGAAAAATAATATCGGCCAAATATCCGCTCAGGCTTCGGCCGCACACTTCCACTCGATGGTCAAAATTTTTGATGACGTCTCTGCATAGTTGCTTCTCGATCTCAGCAATATGCAATATCTCATCAATCAGCTGTTGAATTTTTGTTGGCTTGTTAGCATAGACCTTTTGAGATGACTCCAAAGGAGGAAATCTGAAGGTGTCATGTCGCCCAATCGGGGTGGCCAATTGGCTTCGCTGTTTCGTGAGATGATGCGACCTGGGAACTTCTCATTTAAATTCGGTTTGAAAGTCCATTTTCATAATAGGCTTCGATAACTTTAACACGTTGTTTGATTGTCAATCATCCCATGGTCGAAATTGCCAAAGACTTAAGTTGTTAAATGCGAAAGAAAAATCGTTAGACGCTTACACATATAAAATCGGTCTAAGATATTGGAACAACCTTTATAAGATAAAAATGGGACATTCAAATTTTTCTATACAATATTATCCAATAAATTAAAGTCACCATAAAATAAGAAATAAAAGCAATTTCATATCTTTATTTCCATCGATGATCAACAAATGCATATGTCACGTTTCGACATAGTCCCCCTGTACGCCGAGGCACTTCTGATATCGTTCAATGGGTTTCCGAATAATCGCGAATGCACATGAAAGCCGCTTACTTGTTTGGGCACAGAACGCGTACAATAAATTTACGGTACGCCAAATGACTATGCACTGTGTGTTGTGCATATTTATCGCCGAAACCCACGTCGAATGTCCCTGGTTAAGACATCCGCCTTCTGGATGTGTTCTTCCGTGCACGATTTTGATGGCCGATCGGCTTGGCCATTATCCATTAAACCGGTTTATAATTAAATCGTTCTGTCCAACTTTATTTGATTCACAAAGCATGCTGCATTCTGTGCCAGTATCGGGCAATGGATTTCGGCAGCTTTGACACCCTCCTCCCGAAGAAAACGCACAACAACATGATGTTTCTCGATGGTGAAGATGATTATCCATACGTCTGGCCTCGTTGCTCCCTGTCACTTGATTGAACGACGGAATGCTGCGCAATTAGCTACCCGTCTTCTCACGCGCATGTGCGGTGTTAGGCCTTATCACTGCCCTATTGTTTTTACCGCGTAATTATCAAAATAGTCTTTAGATTCTGAATAAATTCGTACAATGTTGTCAAAATAGACAATAATATAGTAACGATAACATATTGAACAGAGTGATTTTTAATACGCAATGGGTGACTGAAGATTTCTGTACTCTACAAAAAAGTTATTCCAGAATAGATTCTGCTGCTTGGTAATTTGGTTAGGGTTTGGGAAGTGATGCATTATTCTATATAATCCTATTAATATTCTTTATAATCCTTGTACTCAGTACTCTTAAAGAAATTTCTTACAGGACAATAATATGAAACAAAAGATACGTTTGTTGTTGACGTTCCAGAATGAGAACTTGTAGCTTACAAGATACCGTGTTATTGTATAATACTATAAAATAATTGCCATCGGATGATTTACGACAATGTCAACAGTTAAAACATGACCGATAACACATTTTTGAGCGCCTTGTCCTGTTTGAACGAGCAGCCGTGCCGTAGTTCAACAAAGAAATTAGACTACAATAAGAAATAATAACACATTTTAACATAAAATTTATTTAATTACTTGTAGTTTAAATATTATAGCACGAAATTGACTCCAAATGCTATCAGGTATATTATGCTCTTTTCTAAGAAGTTTTCTTGTTTTTTAAAAACATTTTTACCAAGGAAGGCGAAATTACCATTAAAAAACAATGGCTCACAGGGAGTGGAAGTGAACGAGAATGAAAGACCAGGTTTCAGGAAGAGCGACGATTACGATGGACATTGCATATAAAGTTTTGAAGATTGTATGTGGCAAGGAAGTACGAAAACGGAACCGAAAATAAACAATAAAACTTGCGGTTATACATAGATCGTCCAACAGTTAGAAGATGAGACCT